ATTTTAATGGCCAAGTCAAATTTGCAAATTCTAAAAGTTCATTTTACATACTAAACTAAGCAGTCAAGACTTATCTAGTTATTACTAGAGATCTTGCTTCTTGATCAGCTTGCTTTAACTTGACCTTTATTTTCTTCAATGCTTTGGCATCATCAAAACTTTGTGCATATTTTCTTCCACATTCTCCCCCTTTTTGATGATGACAATTCACTGTAAAGGGAAAGAAAATAAAACAATATATTTCGATCACTCCCCCTTAAACTCCCCCTTAGTAAAGCATTGATTGAAGTTCCTTTTATTTTATAAAAGGAGTTGTACTTATGTTTTGAAAAAGATTGTAGAGATCAATGTTTATATTTTTAAAACATAAGTGTCAAGTTGGGCATCAAGAATATTTTTGTCAAAATATTTTAGACAAACTTAGCCCAAAGTAATGTTAGAAAGAAAATAAACATTTTCTTTTCCTTTGTGGTCTTATCTCTCCCCCTTTGTGGTCATAAATGTTGTGGTTTTCCTTTTGTGATCCTAATCCTTTCTCTCCCCCTTTGGCAACATCAAAAAGAATATAATAACAAAATAATCCAAAGGTAAAGAGCAAGCCAAGAATTTTCCATTCCAAGCCTTATTTGTAGTGCAAGGAAAAAATTTACTCGCCTATCATGGACAATTCAAATTCACTTTGCATATCATTAGAAAACTTTTTGCACAAGTGATCATTAGTAACTCCAAAAATAAATTATCAACATCAATTTGCACTATAAGAATATCATTCATTTTTCTTTTGATAAATTAATGTTGTATCAACCTTTCCTCTTGTAAATTCTTTTTCCAAAAGAAATTTACTTAGTCTTTCATACCATGCCCTAGGAGCTTGTTTTAATACATATACAACTTTTTTCAACTTAAAGACATAGTTTGGAAATTATGAGTTTTCAAATCTAGAAGGTTGTTTAACATATACTTCTTCTTGAATAAAATCATTTAGAAATGCACTTTTGACATCCATTTAATATAGTTTGAAATTCATTATTGATGCATAGGCTATTAACATTTTAATGGTTTCTAGTCTTGCTACAAGTGCATATGTTTCTTCACAATCTATGTCTTCTTTTTGATTATATCCTTTAGCAACTAGTCTAGCTTTGTTTCTTATAATTATACCATGTTCATTTAATTTATTTCTAAATACCCATTTGGTTCCAATAATTGGATGATTATATGGTCTAGGGACTAGTTTTCATACTTGATTTCTCTCAAATTGATTTAACTCTTCTTGCATAGCATTTATCCAATGTTCATCATTTAAGGCTTCATCAATGATTTTTAACTTCTATTTTAGAAACAAAAACCAAATTATTGCATGCTTCTTTGAGAGAGTATCTAGTAGTTACCTCTTTTGATATGTCTCCAATGATATTTTCAAGAGGATGATTTCTTGAGATTTTCAACTCTCTTTGAGGAATCATGTTTGTTTGATTCTCTTGAATTATATAATCCTCCATTCCTTCATTTTCTTTGTCCTTTTGAGTTTGCTCATGAATTTGAGTATCTTCAAAGCTTTTCTACAATAGCATCAATAATATCTTTTTTTGGACAAATAAGGTTAGTTTCATCAAATATAACATGAATTGATTCTTC